TCTTTTCCCCACAGTTGCCTTGCAGTGCCACTGTGAGCCACTGTGGGTGACTGTTTCAAATTTATCATACTTCCTGTCATAGGCAAAAAAATGTCAATGTCTTTTGCTGCCTCTGTCTTGAGATTCTTCTCTCCTGGTTGTCCAGATTGGGGGACCTGCTCAAGCATCTTGTACAGAAATGAGAAGCACAGAGATTTGTGTGCATGGCTRAGTGTCACCTTGATGCAGGTCTGGAATGCAATCCTATTGTGCTTCTCAGCACCAAAGTGAGAAACAGCTCTGTGTCCCAAGCTGTAGGCACAGTCCTTGCAAACCACAGGATCCAGAGGGAGAAATGTTTGTTAACATTTTGGGTTTGGAAAGGAGCAACCTGACATGTATGAGGCAGAGCTTTCTGCATCTCTTGGTTGAATGTATTAAGAAAAGCAGGTATTTTGAAAAATGACTGAGTTTCCTTGCTGAGATGATCATCAATGAAAAGGAAAGGGTTTCAGCTGTAAAGGTGTTTAAAGGTGAATCACCAGGATCCTCTCAGAGAAGGTACCAGCAGCAAGTACACCCTATGGTGTTCAGCACTCTGCAAGGTTTTCAGCCCCCTTCAGCTATGGCAGTGGGAAGAAAGTGAAAAAAATCCCCTTTCTTGAACCTTCTGTCCTCTTGATCTGTGGTTGTGGCACTTGGGGACATGATTTAGAGGTGAAAATGGTTGCYGGGTTAAAGGCTGGACTCAATGATCTTAGAGGTCACTGCCCCAACCTAATAATTTAGGATTCTGTATATGACCTCTGCAGGAGACAAGCAATGTCCATTCCTTTGCATTTGAAGGGTCTGTTAATCAGGTTCTCAAAACATTGAAGAGAGGCTGTTTTCAAGAACCTCATGATATTGCTGATAAGATTTTGCTTCAGTTCAGCCTGTGGTTTAAAAAGTACTGTGGGTAAGAAAATAGGAAGAATGGCTGTACCAGATTAGGCAATGGCATAAATCTCATTTCCCTAAAAAACCCTTCCCCTTAAAAAAACCCTGAAACCACACCAACCAACAGAAAAAAAAAAAAAACCAAAAAAACCCGAACCAAACAAAACCCAACCCAAACCAAAGAAGAAATAACCCCCCTAGTTGCCAAGTTCTATTTCTTATAAACCCTAAATTGTTTGGATTTGTGTTAACCTCCTTTCCCCACTAGCTGAACCCTGACCTTCCTTTCAATGTGGTGCAGAGACTGAAAATATAGGTCAGCCCAAGACAAGGTTTTGTCTACATCAGAGGACCTGAGGACCATTTCAGGATTAGAAGTGATTCAAATATATTTAGAGCAATGTCTGAATCTTTAGTTGATGCTTCTGATCACACCCRTGAACTGAGTGTGAAATTCTTTCATCTTTYTAGCACAGTTGCTCATATAARAAAGTCAATAAGTGCAACAGTGGGYRCGACATCATGTTCTTCACTTGTAACCAGGGAACAGGAAAAACTTGCATTTCAACTTGCCACAAATGTCCTTGCTTCTTGTTGCTTCTAACATGTGCTGTAGAAAATGTGCTCCTATGCTCCTGTAAGAAGTGTTTATTACTGAGCTTTATTATTATGAATTGTAATGGCAAGTTGACCTTGCCATGATTATTTCAGGTACGATAGATATGGAAGTATATAACTGTAAAAAAAAAAMMAAMCAAAAAACAAAACAGCTTTGTTTTTACAGCAAAACCTGTCAGTCAGGAACCTCATAATCTGTGGAAAAGCCAGTTGTCAAAATAGATAGTCTTCACACTTAAGTCTYGTGTAGGATTTGTTTTGTTTGTAAGAGGCAGCGGATTTTTTTTTCCTGGTAAGACAGGGTGATTAGAGGAGTCCTATTGCATCCAGGGTTGAACTGAAAGAAAATTGCTGTGGAAAATTAAATGTGAAAACAATCGACAGGTAGGGTTGGGTCACTGCTAGAACAGCTTCTCTGTCTTGTTTGTGACATTCATGTAGAGAGTTGCTGAGCTTCCAGTGCATTTTTCTTACCACTGTGTTTAGTAGAAGGCGGTTTGTTGACATTTTGGGGCTTGGTAAACATGCCTTTTTTAGCCAGACAACATTGCAGTCTGCATGTTGTACACAGTGATAACAACATCCCCTAACTAAAAATGCTATGTAACAACTTGAAGAATACTTATTACACCATTATAAAGTTTGAAGATGGGCATTACATAGTGTATGTCTGAATAGTGATGAATTAACTCAGGCAAAAAAACCCTGTAACACAGACAGTTGGTGGKAAATGTTAACTGGAATGTTTGTACATACCCTTCCAGCAGAACTGCCATCCTGGGTGTGCAAGGGTGGGACTGCCCTGGTAGACACAGCACTTGTGTAATTTTTCAGCCCCACATTCCTGACACAAGTACCAGCAGAATACAATCTACCCATGGATGGTGGGATCTAGGCCATGGATAGAAAAAAAGGCCCGGTAATATTTATCAAGTAGTTTACAAATGACTATGCTATAAATTACCGCCCTGTAATGGCRTGGGAGGTCAATATGGTGCTTTGTTACCCTGCAATAAAATAAGTAAATGTTATAATAGATGAAGCACTTTCTTAGGTTATCYGTCCCCTTTTAGAAACTTACATAATTTTTCTGTTGTAGATTTTAGCCTGTAATATTAGCAATGTTTGACCCAGATTGATATTCTGAGCTCAMCTTCTACCAGCCCTCCACCTAAATCCTCTGCCATGGATGACTTGTGCAGTTTGCAGAGTGAAGTTCTGTTGGAAGATGAACTTTTATTGCAGATCATGGCAGGTTATGCCTGCACTGCTCAGRACATCCATCCTTGCATGCTCTTGCTATTGTGCCCCGAAAGATGTGAAATGCAGGCAGAGACAAAAAGAAGCACCAAGTTCTTGAAATTGCAACAGATACAGCTCTGSAGGGCATAGAACAGGACTGGCTTTGCACTGAGGACCCAGTTTATCTGATCTGTATCAGCTTGTTAGTCATCTTTGTTGCTGAAGTGTGGCCTTTAAAAGGTCTCAGTCCATGGCAGGCTGTGGTTATGGTTGACAATACAAATCAGCAATGCATGGGGGAAAAACGATTCACCAGTTTTAGAAGAATATTAYGTTATTTCCCAAAAATCCATTTTGAGCCCAAAGTCAACAAGACCTAACCAAGATGAAAACCATAGGAGCTAAAGTCTGGGTGGCCTAAAGACCTAGACAGTGTTAGCTCCAACCTTTGCCCAGTACTGGAAATTTGTTCCCAAGGACACAGACACCTGGTTTTCACAACTGATCACAGTAAGAAAGTGGGATGCTGTTTAGGGCACTGAAGGACACAARATTCACTCCCTCAGCTTCACAAAAGTGACAAATTTAAGCACAAAAAGAGTCCATCCTCCTCCTCCTTATGGTCTGCCACCAAGTTAGAAGCTGCACACAGGAAAAATGGTGTCTCAATGGTCCTGCCTTCCCCRGGGCAATGCTCCAGCCTCGTCCTGCCCAGGCAACTGCCTCTCACGCTGATCTGAGAGCTKCCTTTGTAGATGAAAGATGTGGGTCTATAATGGCTTCAGCTTCTCTGTGGATTGGGRTATAAGAGCAGAGGGCTTTGTTTCTGACCTGTTCCAATTAAGAAAAAAAGACAGAGATTTGTGCAGAACAGGGAGGCCCCACAATATTAATGGGTTAGATAACAAACTAAGGTCAAAAGGGAGGAATGAGGAGGTTTTTCTCCTCCCKGTAACTTGAAATCCTTTCTAGTGGAGAGGAATGCATTTTTTTTGTGTCTCCCCAGTTTCTGTGTTAGGTTCTAGCAACAAAGCCCAGTTCTCCTCTTGCTCATGTCTTCTCAGATGCTGGGTCTGAGGAGAGAGTTTTGTTTATCTTCCCCTTGAAGTTTCCCTTCCTAGTAGGACATTATAAGCAGCTCTCCTGTGCATCTTGGAAGAGCTTTTCTGGTCTTTAATGTTTGTTTGTTTAAAACATTGTTAGTGACAGATGTGAAGTAAGCTGGCTGCACTAAATGTATTTTAGGGCATTTTAACCTTTCTTGTGAATAATGGTGTAGTTAAGTTGAAATTAAAGTCTCGCTTGCTACTGTTTGAGAAGAAGATTGTTTTGCCTGCACCTTGATCCATGCCCACTGAAGCCTCATTTATACTAGTGGGAATGGATCAAAATGGAGGAATTTGAGTATTTTTTCCCATGTTTTTCTTTTTTAAAARTGTAAATTCAAATTTTTTGTTAATAAAATTCAGCTCTATTTTCTCTTCTCAGCAACAGTGTACCCCATGAGTAACCCATGTCAGCAGCATTTTTACCAACTTTTATCACTGACTTTGCCTGTTGCAAATAAAGCCAGGGCTGTTTCTTTACAATGGAATTGACACTCTGCAATGTGTTTGGGCAACCTAAACCCCACCCAAATGCTTTTGCCTAAAGTTTCCTGCCAGCTGTTGCCAGATTGTCAGAGGCACTTCACTGACAGGCAGTCCATGCCTAAGGACCAGGTGGCAAAGGAGGGCTCCACATTGCCTCCCATCCTCACTGCTCACAGCATTGTAAGCTTGAGTAGCCATTGTGGACTCATAACTCTAGAAGGAAGCACAGGGAAGTTGTTTCATGCTCCCAGCAGGTCTGGGCTCCATTTTTCTTCCCAGGTCTTTTTATTTCCCAGAGTGACCTTCCTGGTGCTGCAGGCTGCCTTCTCAATGACTCCAATGTTCTTAGGAGCCATTGTGGCTGCTGTCCCTTGATATACAACCTTCTCTCAGGAATATTAAGCTGCCTGTTTGTTCTAAAGCCAGAAATTAGGTGAAGGTTGAGAGGACTTATCAGTAAGTCAGGACAGGAGCAAATACACTCATTGCCCAGGGCGGTGCAAGAGTACTCTCAGAACAAACACTCAAAATCCAGGGAATTCTGTTAAGGTTGTTTAAATGCTTAGTGGTATTTCTGTACATTACAGCATAGAGTAAAGGTGATCCATATCTGAAGATAAGAAAACTGGGCTGGAAGACAAATGTCTCATGCAGCATCTCAAATACTCTACATTTTGAAAAAAACATCATAAACCTTTAATTCATCTGAACAAATCAACAGATTTCTCTCAGACTGAGAGTATCACACTTTGGTATGCCAAAGTGTTTAAATAGATAMAGTCCAGTTTAAGGCTCTGTGACTGCTGCCACTATGGCTAACAAACCAGGAATGTYACTCTGATCCACAGCTGTAAATCAGACCTGCATTTCCATCAGTCTCCACGCTGATGCATCTGCCTGTTTTGACTCACTCAGATGTTACCAGCTTCAGACCTCTTCAGTACTGAATGCTTCCAAACCTGATAACCTCTTTCTCGGTAAGTTCYTCTTTGTCTTTTGAACTCCATTCTGTCTTTTTGATGCAGACATTTATTTTGTAAGGACAAATCTTGGGCTTTTTCATGTCCCTGGTTCCTCATCCTGAAATATGCTTATTATTTCTGCAAATACTGCTAAAAGTTATCCTTGCCTTGACTGCTCCTCAGAAGACATGCTTATTCAGGGATTTAATCATTTGCTGATTAATTTCCTGTCGTTCCTCCGTTTATGGTCTTCTAAGTCCCTTCTGAGAGATTGTGATCTCAAAACTAAACTAAGAGCAACTCTCTTGACATCTCTGGTAATTCCAGTGCAAAGAAGAACTGAGACACAAACTCAGACTTGAAAGGGAGGGGATTTAGGAGGGTTTGTACAGGGCTTGAGATTTCCTGACAGAGTATTTCTGTTGAGGTGAGACCTGCAAGATCATTTCCACATCACTCAGCAGACACTTCACATTACTAGAGTGTAAAGTCCTGTTCTAAGGTCTTCAGAATAAAATGYGGGATTTCAGTTTCTTTTTGGGTTTTCTGTTTCTCGTTCCAGATCCACAACTAATAGTTTTTAAGTTTTTCTTTCCACAGCTATGTTTTTCCTGTTAGTTCAAACAACTTCACACAGGTTTGCTTTACAAGACTGGAACAATGTCTGGCTGTACTGTATTCATCACGGTAGTATCCAGAGGCTGCCTGACTGTTGTTTTGTCACACCTTCATGGTCTTAARTTTCTAAGCAAGTGAAGAATTAAAGATTCCTTTGATTTGTACTCCTAGACTTTTCTGATTGAAATATTTTCCTATTCATTTCATTCCATGAAGGGCACAGTAATACTTTCCTGTAACTGCTCTCAGCTACTTTCTATCATCGTGGCAAAACCACACAGGCATCAAATAGTGCCTTTTCTTTCCTAACTTCCACTTTGCTTTACTTATTTCTTTTGGCATTTTGTCCTTTTTGTGCCTAGTGCTACAGTTTGATGCACATCTATTCTGCATGTACCTCCAGCCAGTTTTGKGATGCTTTGTAAGAGGTGATATACAAACAGCAGCCTGAACTGATACATATAACTGATATGTATGCATCATCCTGAAKCCCAGGCAGCCCTGCTGTCCTGGGATTCACCAATGGGAATTACTCATTGAGCTGAATGTTAACGTGATCTTGCTGTTGTTGGTACCACAGCAWGTGTTGCTCTGTACATACACACTGCTCTGCCTTATGTGAAAATGAGATCGGGAAATAGGCCTATCTGGAAAATACACCCTTGCATTACGAAGCACAACACTGCAGCAGCCTGAAGTTTTGCTAATCCTGTCTGCAGAYCCCAGAGAAGTTACATCTCAGTTCCATTGCAGGTGACCCCTTTACAGGAATGCTGCTCTGTAAAGAAACGGGAGCTAATCTTCTCTATCCATTCTTTTAGCTGAAGTTGCAGCTCTCTGCTCTTTACTTAAGGAACTGTGTTTTAGTTTTGGAGCACTAAGAGATAGCTGAGATCTTTTCTCCATCTCTCTGGGAAGGCTGAGAACACACCCTACTTCCAGAACTGCACGGAGGATTTGCATGTTTGCCTCTACATGCCACTCACTGCATTTATTTAYCTCCTGCCTCTTTACACAGAAAAGCTTTTTGGAGAGCTTGCCAAGATTTCTGCCAGGTGCCATCATAAGTGAATTTCACCAGAGCTGATGGCCTGAGAAGCTTTGTTGGACAGACACAGCAGGAAATTAAGGTACCTTTTGTGTATATATGTTCGTAAATATTTATTTTAAGCCTTCTTGCATTAATAGATGTCAGAAGCARCAGCAGCAGCGCGGCACACGCTGCAGCATGGCGCTTCCCCTGTCCCTGCCCGCGGGCTGCTCCCGGAGCAATGCCCCGGCAAACCAGCGAGCGGCTCTGCGCTTCGGGCAGMGCCACTTCAGCAGAACCACCTCTCCTCCTCCTCTTCACCCCTCCCGCCCCTTCTTCACCTTCCTCAAACCTGCGGCCACTTGAGCCAGGCGGGGCAGCTCCGCCCCGCCTCGGTGCGGGGCCCCGGGCGAGCTGGGGTGCGCACGGCTTCCCGAGGAGCCAGTATGGAAACGGGATCGTTCCTCGGCGTGAGTAAAGCACTTGAGAAGGAGAGGGAGGGAGAGAGGGATGCGTGTCCTCGGAGGGTCCGGCAGCGGGCGGCGGGGGCGCGGAKCCGCCGGGACCCATCGCCCCTGAGGGCTGGCGGCTCCCGCCTGAGGGGCTGTCCAGGTACTGCTCCTCACAGGGGTTCCTGTAATTCCCGTGAGGGCTTTTTTAGCTTCTGGGTCGGCTGCAGCATRTGTTCTACTGATGTCATCATGAATCGTTGTTTAATTACATCTCCCTCCCGGAACTGCGTTGGCCGGGTTTGGCCGTGTCCCAGTGCTCCGGGCCTGTGTGTGTGCAAGGCACGCTCCGGCGGGCACGGCCCGGGCCAGGGACCATCAGCCCGATGCTCTCGGTGTCCCGGCGCTGGAGGTTGGTGATCTCTAGCGACTTTACAAGCCTGCATGTTTTATTGCTTGTTTATTGCATGTGTCCTCCCAATGTAATTGCTGCCTGCATGTAGAGCACCCCGGAAAGGTCAGAGAGCTTCTGAACACGGGCAGCGGGGGCACTGAGGGTGGGTGGCTCCTGGCTGGAAGCCAAGCGCCCACCAGAGTCTCTGTCACTCTCCTGCTCAGCAAAGGGGGAGAAAAATGTAATGAAAGGTTCACAGACCAAGATAAGGACAGGGAGAGATCACTCACTAGATACCATCACAGACTCTACTTGGGGAAATCATTGAATTTWTTACCAATGGAATCAGTGTAGAGTAATGAGAAAAAAGCAGCGAATCTCAGAACCCACCTCCATSCCTCCATTCTTCCTGTTTGCAACTTCACTTCTGTTTTCTTGATTTTCTCTTCCTCCTCTACCTGCAGTGATGCAGGGGATGGGGAATGGGGGCTGAGGTCAGTTCATCCCGTATTGTCTCTGCTACTCCTTCCTCCTCAGGGGGACAGCTCCTCACACTCTTCTCCTGCTCCAGTGTGGGTCTATCCCATGGGAGACAGTCTTCCACAAACTTCTCCAATATCAGTCCTTTCCAYAAGCTGGTGTTTTCTGTGATCTGCTCCAGTGTGGGTCCCTTCCACGGGGTCACAAGTCCTGCCAGCAAACCTGTTATAGTGTGAGCCCCTTTCTCCATGGGTCCTGCCAGGAGCCTTCTCAACATGGGCTTCCCATGGGGTACAGCCTCCTTTGGGCATTCATCAGCTTCACTCTGGGGTCCTCCACGGGCTGCAGGTAAATCCCTGCTCCAGTGTGGATCTCCATGGGCTGCAGGAGCACAGCTGCCTCACTGTGGTCTTCACCAAGGGCTGCAAGTGAATCTCTGCTCCAGTGCCTGGAGCCTCTCCACCTCCTCCTACACTGACCCTGGTGTCTGCAGAGTTGTCTCTCTCACATATTCTTACTCGTCTTTTCCTRGCTGCTGTTGCACAGCAGCTGTGTTCCCCTTCTTAAATCTGTTATCCCAAAGGCTCTACCATTGTTGTTGATGGGCTGAGCCTTTGCAAGTGGCATTGGCTGTGTTCTACATGGGGAAAGTTTCTGGCAGCTTCTCACAGAAATCACCTCTCTAGCCCTCYCCACTATCAAAATCTTGCCATGCAAACCCAACACCACAGTTTATCACAGTATTGTGTGTAGGGTGGACTTGCCTGTCTGGAAGAGGGGATTAAAGACACAGTTCTCCTTTGTGAAGTTTAGGATTTAGTCATGAGAGGCAGCAGCTAATGGTTGCATTTTCATTTCTCCAGGCAAGCCTTGGTTTCTCTGTAAATATTGCCCCCCATCTCAAGCACAAGATAGCAGCTGAGTTTAGAGGTGGCAGTGTGCATATCTAGGGCTTTACACAGTGTGGGGGATCAGGACAGAATCTGGTCCAGTCACTTTTGTACAGGATTTGATCAGCAGATGGCTGTGGTACAGCTCCTGCCATGCACTGCTGTGGAAGAAGAAGAGGAGAAAGAGATGTGAATCTCTCACGTCTGTGTTTGCAGGACTGCAGTTTGTCTTGGTCTTGCTCTCTGCTGGCTTTCCTGAGGCCCAGCAGGCTTTCTGGGCCTCTGCTGGCTTTCCTGAGGCCCAGCAGGACATTCCTTGTGAAGTGTCCTTATCCTGTAGAGGCTGGGGCATTGATGGCAGCTTGTGCCAGGCTGAGAACCTGCTGTCCATGGGCTTTGGCTGGGCAGCACCAAGGCGTCTCCTGTACAGCCCAGCAAAGGCAATTGCAGGGCTTGATGCCTCTGCAAGGCATTGCTAGGCTGTCCTCTCACCCCGTGGAGCACTGGAGAAAGGGACCAGCATGGCAGAAACCCAGCTTTTCTCTGTCAGCTGYTGGGGCTGTGCCTGTGTTAGCCCAAGCAAGGTGGTGAGAGCACATGGCAGGAGGGGAGAGAGGAGGAGGGGAGAGAGGCAGAGGCAAACCTGCACCCTTGGACACATCCTGGGGGTGCTGTGCAAAGGAGCACATGCCAGGACGAGGTGTGACTGCCTGGCAGGGCTTATGGGTCTCGCTATGGGGGAGTGTGGGGGTTTTGGAGAGCCCCAAAGGCTCTGGAAAAGGAGCTGCGAATCCCCCCTCAAAAAGAGGAAAAGTTGTGTGTATAGCTAGATTTCAAGTCGGCATAAGTGCTGCCTAATTGCTACCATGTGCTGGGGTGTCACACCCTCACAGCTCCTGTGAGCTTCAGAGCCTGAGGAGAGGAGAGATCACCCAGTCTTTTGCAATTACTGAACAGCAATGCTATTTTAAGCACCGGTAGCTCCTGTCCACGCTGATGGGACTTGGTACAGAGTCTAGAGCAGAGCAGTTGTGGGTAAGCAGTGGTGTGCTGTCTGATGAAGCATGAAACACAGCAAAAAGGGACAAAATTAGCTGCAATGGCCTGTGGGGGACAGAAGCTGGTCATGTTAAAGTGCCGAGCCCGAGGATTGGTGAGTTGATCTGCCTGGGATCTGAACATCTTTCCAAGAATAAGAATAGCTGATGGAGCATATAGAGACCATTTCTTTATCCAGGAAAAAACAGGTCTGCACTTTTCCTGAATAAGCTATGGGCTTTTTCCCACTTAATTTTGCACTAGGCCCATCAAATACCTGCTTTTTAAAATAAAGAGACAAAGGAAGCAAGAGAGGGTTTAATCCACTGTTTCCCTGCTTACACAAAGGCCTTGTGTGTGTAGGTAACTTCAGAGGCAGCTGTTGTTCACTGGGGGAAGCCCCAGGTAACACAGCAGCCACGTGCAGCCTGTGTCACTGCACTGGGGTGCCAGGCATTTCCCCCTGGCACAGTCCCATTCTAATCTAGGCTGGGGTGACTGTGCTCAGAGACACTAATTCAAAGACACATCAAAGGCACAGCAAGGCAGACTAGGCAAGTGATGCTAAGTGCATTGGCAGGTATAAAAGCAGATCATATCTGTTATGTGTGGTATGGACACAGGACTTAGGAATGCAATTCCTAAAGCAGCTTTCAGATGACCTTATGTGACTCCTAAAAAACCCCAAACAAACTATTGCACTGTGTTTAAAGAAATGTTCTTCATATAGGCGCTGTGGCTTACCAGTATATAAGGAAAAACCAACCACCTCCTAGGAGAAACAATCTCAAATGAATGTGCTAAGATGCAGCAAAAGGGACCAGGGACTAATAGAGGTGTTTGCGGAGTACAAAACCTGCAAAAATGCATATCATAGCTGTAGCATCGACAGCTTTTTTAAAAAAGGATTAAAAAGATTAAAAGGAAAGTTGTGATATTAATGATAATAATCACTGTGCCATGGTCTAAAAGAAACTGTCACACTAGCTGTGACAAAATAAAGCCTTGCAGGCAGTGAAAAAAGGAAGGCTCTAATCCCCAGACCACCACCTGAACTAGGAACGTCCCAGAACACAGAGAGCTTATTTTTGTGTTCTGCATAATCCAGGTGATCATAAAATGAAAAATGAGCAGGTTAACTCTAGTAGGCCCTGGTGAAGCCATGATTTCTCATTTGGGTTTCATCCACTGGCACTCCTGCATGACCACTRCGAATTTTGCAGAAGATCCTTGCCAAGGACAGTTCCAGAGTAGTTTTCAAGAAGGTCAGACCAAACTGAAATTCTTATGATCAWGGATGCGTAGGGGTGATAAGAACAGGTCAAGAGGTATTCTCCAAACTGGGAATAAGGAGACGAAAACTTTCCTCTTTGACCCTAGACACCAGCATCACCTGCAAATCCAATGTCCTYACATCTTTGTAAAGGCTTTTTATAGAGGTACCCCTGTGGCATCTGATTTGATCCTTCAAGGTAAGTGTTCTCCAGGAACCTGAGGGTAGCAGACCTAGCCCCTGTCCCATRTCCCAGCCCTGCCATCAGTCCCCTTGCCACGCTCCTGGGACTGCAAAGGGTAAAGGAATGGACRCAGTTTCACACTGGAGGGAGGTACTCCTTGTGATTTCACAATAGCCAATRTAGACAGTAATTTCTTCATACCAATGAAACTGTGTATATTTGTCTTKGCTCTATTTTTCCTTCCACTTGGTCAGTTTACATGCCTGAAGCTGGAACCTACCCTTTGGCGTTATGCTGGAGGACAATGTTATCAAAAGCAGCATATGTTGTGGCTGACAAGCTCTTGACATTTTGCTGCAACTACTTGAGAGAAKGGTTGGCATTTTTTAGTGTTTCTAAATCCATTCTACACAGGTGCAATGTCATTTATTCAACTGCAGTATTTGGAGTGGTTTATTGTTTTTCTTTTCTTTTTTCCTYCCAGAACACCACATGAAGTCCCAGAGCACATACTAATGGAAGGCCCTTTGCAAACCATTGTTCACATGTGCCATGAAAATGGTCARTGGATGTCACGATTACCAGAGAAGCTCTGGGATATCCCCCTSTATAACTTAGCTCTTCCAGGTAGGGATTAACTTTTGTTCTCTGCTGTTTTGTTAGCTTGCCATTTAAGCATTGGAATATCCTGTTTGTCCCATTTCAGGATGGCTATGTTTATTATTTGGGTCAGTGTGTGGGGGAGGGTTTGTGTGATGTTATGTGAATAATATTGGTCTGTAATGTTTGGAGTTTCTTAGAAGGGAGGGGTAAAAAAGTATTTTTAATTGTTTTTTAGAAATGAGAAAAAAGAGGAACTTTTTTCAGTCCCTCTGCATCATCTTGTCAGATACTATTAATAATCTAAGAGTTGACTTATTTGGGCAATGATAAAATTTTCATAATTAATTCCTGTGACTTCCTATATAATAAAATGTTTCCAGAAGGGGAGAAATAACATTTTACCTTATTATTTGTTTCTTTGTACTGTCTAAGAGAGACTGTGAAATTACAGAAAAAGGAGAATTGAGACTTGTAATTAACATGGTTTTATTAATGGAGACTGTGATTTTTCTACATGATACTGCTTAWAATAACTGGATTTGCCCTATTATGTGTAAATGCAGTTAAATGATACCTCYGAATCATTAGCCTTTCTTTGGTCATATTGTTGCTTCTGTCTGTTGCCTTGATTTTTTTTTTCCCTCTCTCATTCTGTCCGAAAAATTTATGGTATATTGTGATCATGGGGAGGCACTGGAGGACTGTCAGCTCTTGAGTGGTTCCATTTGCCTCCACATCAAAAATGTCACTTAAGAAAAGTCTAGCTCACGTTTTCTCTCACATGTGTAGATGTGACAGATAGTTTGGGTGGAAGACAGCACAGTGTGTAGATGGATGTTTTACATAGGACCATGCTCATATTTTTGGGAAGGCRGATTTTTAGAGATAGTGTGAAGTCTTGTCTTCAGTGGGTCGAGCCCTGGGAGAACCCAAGAACTGTAGTGTTTAGGCTTTTTTCTGCCTGTTGTGAGATARTAAAGTGTTGAGTTCCAATTAAAATTGAAGCCCAGAAACTTACTTCTTTGGTGGCTTCTTAGATACGTAATTTGATGTTAACTTCAAAACAAGCACGTCTTCTGTTTAGGGTAAAGCCTATGTAAGAGGACCCAAGACAGGTGCTATAAAAGAAAGGATATGTAGATTTCTTGTTTAACCATCAAGAGCARAAAAAACAAGTTTCTGTCTTATGACTGAAAAAAGAAGGTAATAGTCTTCTCCTTTTTTCTGTTTTTCCTTTTGTTCCTGTTGCAAAAATCCTCCAAACCAGTGGGGTTTTGTTTTAGTTGAAAAGTGGTGTTTTGCTTTGTTGTTTCTATAAGGCTTTCACCTGGTGTTTCGTGGCCATTGTAGAAAGTGGAGAACCTGCTGAAGTGTTTGTTTGACTTCCTGGCTCTCCTCCTAAGGGTGACCTTGTTATTCTTGCAAATGTTTGTTGTTCTTGTGATTATACCTGCAGGGAGAACAGGCATGAAAAATAGTTGAAGGCAAGACCATTTCAGCAAACATTAGAAGACATTTACAGARCATTGCAAGCTATTAGCTTGGAATATTTTGGTGTCTGTCCAGTTGACCTACAAAATGGATCTAGCCCAAGTCAGAACACAAACAGATCAAGACCAACCAGGTCAAGACAGCTCTGGCCGGTTTCCAGAGGGAGCAATGACTGGGGGAAACCCAGTTTGGAAGTGGCAGTTTATCTCATGAAAGGCATGCAAGAAACATGACARAGTGTATTCTGAAAGCATGACGAGGAGACAGCAGCAGATCTCACTAATTAGTGTTGTGCTTGCAGCAGATTCAGCACAGTGCTGCTGGGCAGGTGTAGCTTCAAGGTCTGAAGCTACCTGGCTTGATGCTAGCTCACTATCTTTACATCACATATGTTGTGTCATGGATATACCCATCTCCCTTTCCTTACTGTAACTCACTGACATCAAAAAAGACTCGTGAGTAAAAGATTACCATCCGTTTGGTTTGGCATCCGTAAATGCAACGCCCATCAATGGAATCCTGCTTGTCTCTCTCAGACTTGGATTTGCTCCATGGGTATTTAATAGTTTGACTMTTACATTTTCTAACGAATACTTCTTTGATTGCATGCCCCCAATATCGATTTTTCATCTGCAGTGGTGGTGTTTCAGCTGTGGTTTGGGTGTTCAAAGCAGTAAAAGAGATCAAAAATGGCTTTTAGAAGGTGAAAAAATCGAGTGAGACATTAAACTATTATTGACAGTTTCAAAGAATTTTTATTTCCAAACCAATCCTTTTTGCTTTGTCTACTAGAAACATTACCACTGGCACCAGCAAGATTGACAATTCAAGAAAGTAGTTGTTAGCACCAGTAAACAATTAGTTTGATAGAAGACTTAAAACATAAAATGACGTGCAGATTCCTTGCAGATACTCTGTTAAGATCCAAGCAAGTCACTTCACTGAGTCATTAGCTTTTCTTATTGATGCTTYATAAAACTGGAAGAAATAATAGAATAGAAAAGCTGGCAAAATCACTGGTTCCCTGTCCTGAAGAAATTGTGAGTTGCAAYAGTTTCATCTAAACATGTTGCAAGTGATGTGTCAGATTTATTAAGACTTCAAGGAAATATAATGCTTTATTGAAAAGTCTCAATGCCTTCTCTTCACAGGGATTTCACACTAAGCTTATTAATATTAGCTGAGCAGCTTCTGTAGAAAATTCCACCTTTTTTGCCATAACTACAGAGACTTTCAGATAATACAGGTGTGTGGCTCAYAAATGGGGTGGTCTTTCAGGTGTGCACATGAAATGTAGCCTTGGGATGTGATCTTGAGTCATTAAGAAATGAGATTTTCTGTACATTTATTTTTGTATCCTACAGGGAGTCATGACACTATGACCTACTGTTTGGATAAAAGCTCYGCTGTGAGTGGCAATGAGTCCAAGCTGGTGAAGTTTTTAAGCAAATGTATGCCYTGCATTGTGCACCCCATTATCATGAAGTGGTCTATAACACAGGTAACCATTGTCTGGTGTTCTCTTCTTGCCTTGGCAAAGCTGAAGCTTGTGCTGCAGGGCTGAGAGTGTACAATGACAGAAAAGCCTGCTGCTGTCATGAGATGCCATGCTTGGTGTGGTTTAACCCCAGCCAGCAGCTCAATCCTGCACTGCTGCTTCCTCACTGCCTCTGGGTGAGAAAGGGGAGGGAATTGGAACAGTAAAAGCTGAAGAACTTGTGGGTTGAGATAAAGACCATTTAATAGGTAAAGTAAAAGTCATACATGCAAGCAAAGCAAAATAAGGAATTAATTCACCACTTCCCATGGGCAGATGGGTGTTCAGTCAYCTCCAGGAAAGCCAGGCTCCGTCAATGTAACAATGTCTTAGCACAACAAACACCATCACTCTGAATGTTCCCCTCTTCTTCCACCAGCTTATATGCTGAGCATGAGTCCTTAGGTGTGGGATATCCCTGTGGTGAGTTGGGGTCATCTATCCTGGCTGTGTTCCCTCCCAACTCCTTTTTGCACTCCCAGCCTCCTTGCTGGTGGGGTGAGAGGCAGGAAAGGCCCTTAGTCTGTGTAAACACTGCTCAGCAATAGCAAAAACATCCCTGTGTAATCAACACTGTTTCCAACACAAATCCAAACCACAGTTCCATTCCAGCTAATATGAAGAAAATTACTCTTTCCTATCTAAAACCAGCACTTTGGAGTATGAGATAGTAGCCATACATACCTGGYCATCTTTTCTGTGGAAAAAGCATGCAGGTGAGGCAGGGATGATACTTAAAMAAAGATGTTGCTTAAAGCTGACCATCTGGTACTAGAAACCCCTTTTCATGTGTTTATTGTTGTGGTAAATAAAATGTGCAWATACTAAGCTAGTAATCTCTTTGTTCCTTGCAAATGTATGTTAAAGAGAAAATTTGGGATCTTGATTTAAGCTACAGCTTTTGAAGATTCTTCCAAAGAACAGACTTTCCTGACAAAAAAGGGGTACCAAAAATCTTTCTGTTTTTGYTCTTGTTGAAGGAGTAGTTCATTAYTAGGGAATTAAAATGGAATAATTGATTAATATATGTGACAAAACATATATATAATATATATAATAAACATGCCAAAGTWTCTTTTGTGGTGTTTGAGCAGCTCTGGCAAACTGGAGTCTTAGACACTACCAGATATCAAATATGAGCTGGCAATGAGGAGTTGATGTAGAAGGGCACTTGCTTAGCTCAGTGCCTTGTTTATCTTGAGCTGCTTTTTGCTTTGGGGCTTCAGCCAATGAAAGATTTAGAGGTGTCCTAACTTGTGGGTTCCTGGTTGGTGAAGTGACCCTGTTGGTGACAAACAATCTCTTAACATCATTATAATAATTTTCTGGACTGAACCCAGCATGACAAGCAGGAAAGAGGMACAGCTACAATGCTGCCCCTCCTTAGCTCCTGTTATCTGTGTGGGGAGAGGACTCCACCCATTGGTATCCAGAACAGAGCCCACAGAGCCCTACTGATAGTAGGATCTACAGGTTCCTGCATGGCCCAGTGCCTAGGAGGTGCCTGCTTGAGCCCCAGCTGGTGTGGCTGCCAGTCTAGAGGCCCAAATATTTCCTGGGTAATATCTTTGTAGCTTCCAGTCATGCCCTGGATGCCCAATCTGAGATTGAAGCACTGAGCAGCWTTGCTCCTCTGGGCTTCCTTTTAAGTTTAGCCCTTTAGAGGTAATGTTCACACTGCCTAACTCAGTATCCAAACGCCGGTGACTATGAGTCTGATTTATCTAGTTTTCCCTTGTAAGTCAACAGAAAAGAAAGGAATTAATCTAAAGGGCAGTTGTGAGCAGCTATTTCATCTGGTGCTCTTTCTGGCCACAAAGGTTATATATGACCTACAGCTGTGTACACTCCCATCTCCAACATGCTCCAGGCAAAGGGGTGTGGATCATCTCTTCCACTGCTTCAGCCTGGTGGAGACCAAGCAGGCACAGAAGGAGCTGTTGGCGAGACCCATTGTACCCCATGGAACCCGGGGGCACACGGGGCTGGGCTATCCCAGCCTGGACACTAAATTCATATCTGAAGAACAGGGAGTTAGGGGGTTAAACTAAGCAGGGTGACCATCCTGCCATGTGTCTTAAGCTCTGTGCGAGCACTAAAATTAGGATATTCAAGAGCAACATGTTGTATTTAGCTTTTGTTCAATCCTTTCTGACTTAAATTAGTACTATGYATGGTTTCTGAAACCTAATTTTTTTATTCCTAGTAGGTTGAGCTGGGACAAATTAGTGTTCAAACATATTTAATGAAATTGATTCTTTTTTCTTATGTTAAGAGAGTCTTGATATAAGGAAAAGACATATCATTTGGGACTTCTTGCTCTGGAAACAGCTTTATCASCTGCTTGATTCAACCCTCAAATCCAGTGGAAGAGGTCTGAGGGAAGTGGAACTAGAGGAGTGCCTCTGTTTTGTGGGACTTCTACAGTCTAATGTGGACTTTATAAGAAACTTTATCTTGAAAAAGAATAATAGCCAGTAGTTTTTTCTATTTTTTGTTTTCCCTTCTGTTGAGGATGTGCGAGGTCCGCAGAGACAACTATGGTAGTCTTTGATCTAATAAAATAAATACAGCATTTCTAGGGTGCTGATCCTGCAGTTGTTTTTTAAATGAATGGTTGTGTGAAGAGCAATCATGTATTTATGCACAGGTTAATGGATCTTTAGCTTTCAGAACACAACAAGGGCAGCAATCTGAAACTTATATGTACCTGCAGTATATGCTGTGGGAAAATKGGAATCCCTATTATCAGAGAGCAAAAATGCTTCAAAGTTGCTACCTGATGCCATATAGTGACATTTTAAAGACAAAAGACATGTGAAGGATGTTAAGGGCTAACTCTGTACCTCTCTTTTAGCTTTTTAAACTAAAGAAACAGATATATTTCAAGCTTTTAGGACCTCTGTCTACTGTTTCACCTTTCAGGTCCTGACTGTGACGGAGCAACTTGAGGCTGGAGTTAGATACCTGGATTTCAGGATYGCCCACAAGGCTAATGATCCATCTATGAATTTGTACTTCGTGCATATGGTTTACACAACTGTTACTGTACAGGTATTTGCCTTACCTTTGTGATGGTTATAAAACCAGTGCCATTTCTTTCATTTAARGGCCATCATAATCTGAAAATGCTGGCTCAATGTCTTCTGAGTAGATTGTTTTTCTTTTGTGAGGACTTCAAACTAGAGAAAATCAGCAGGGGTGGAAATTAGCAGCTCCTTGTGATACTGGAGCATCAATCATTTCCTCAACCTCGGACCAGACTCTTTGTGCCTGCTCTCCACTGCCTATCCCCTGCCTGATGTTCTGGTGTTTATCTTGTGTTGTCCCAGGATGATACACAGGGTGATCCTGTTTCCCCAGTAAGGAGAAAAGTTATCAAAGAGAAGAAGGCAGTATATAGAAGCCCTATATAATCACAGAAACACTTTTTTTGAGAAAGCACTGCTTTTCATTATTGTGATTGTGAGTCTCCTCCACCGTCACTGCTTTGTTGATTTTATGTCCTATCCTCTCCATAGCACAAATAATTTTCTAAGATGTCATACCTGTTTCTTTTAGGATATTCTGTGGGAAATAYTAAGGTGGTTAGAAACTCATCCTGAGGAAGTTGTTATCATAGCCTGCAGGAATTTTGATGGATTAACCAAGAGACTTCATAATCATCTTGTTGCCTGTATAAAAGAGATTTTCCAGTGTAAACTCTGTCCCAGAAATGTAAGTATATGATCCTTTTTTCTCGTATTTAAAAGAATGATACGTCACAATGAGATCTTTGATTCCAAATTTTTAGATGTATTCTACTTCCACTCTGTTTTTAACCTAGGAAAGGTAACATTTGCCGCATCAGAGATAGGTCYTTACCTAATAGAACTGAGGAAATAAAACAAAGCTACATTCTGCTGTGTGGAGGAGGGAATTAAATTTGTCTGTTACRTCTGTTGAGTTGTGGGACAATAGTAGAGACAACTGTTTTCCATTGTCCTGTCTGAGTTTTCTTGGAAAGGAAGAGAAAGGGAAAAGAAGAGACCAAAGAAAAGAAGAGAGGAAAAGAAAGGAAAATGAAAGAAAAAAGAAAGGAAAAAAAAAGAGAAAGAAAAAGCTGTGTGTGTTACATATTTATGAATTTAAAGAATCAATTTTCTCCCTTTTCACAGCAATAATTATAAAACATTTTTTTTTCTATTTAAAATAGTTTAGGTTAGGAGTGACCTCTGGAGGTCATCTGATCCAACACCACCATGCAAAGTAGGACCAATTTCAAAAYTATGTTGAGCTGCATCCTATTCATTCTTGAATATCTCCAAAATGGATATTCCACAACCTTTCCTTGCAACATTTGACCACTCTGACAGAAACCATGTTTTTCTTCTCTATCTGGTCAGAATCTCTTTTGTGTCTGCTAACTTCCAATCCTTTGCTGTGCATATCTGAGGAGAGTAGTAAAATCTCTGCATTTGCTTGTTAGATATTTGCAGACAGCAGTAAGACCTGTCCACTCCTCTCTTTTCATACTGGACAGACTCAACTCCCTCAGCCTGTCCTTGTGTGTCATGTTCCAGCTTCTGCTCCAGCTTCTGCTCGCTCTGGTTGTGTGCTGCTGGATTCTTTGTACTGTGCAAGTCCCAGCTGGAGCCCCATTTCATCCTCATGACTTGAGATGCAGTCCCACATTTGCTGAATAGAAGGAACGATCCCCTTTTCTTGATTTGCTGTCTGTGCCTCTAGTAATACAGCCCAGTTCACAGCTCACCTTTGCCGGGTGGGAACATTACTGGCTCATGTTCAGCTTGATGTCTTTGAGAACCTTCAGGTCTTTTTCTGCAAAGCAGGTGTCTACCCASCTGCCATTCAGTCACCCAAACCTCMAAAAAAMCCCTAATTTAAATAATCAGAAMATATTTGATTGCTAGATTTCAGAAGTTGAGACTTTTAGCTTCCTCTATGTTTTTTTACAAGGTGTGGGAGCTTTTAGTAGTTAAACAATTAACATTTCAAAGATGCACAGGAACAGAGGGTTTTCTCTGGAGATGTGAGTGGTACAGGAGAATGATGACCCTGTTTGCGATTCAAATTCAGCCTTTGAAGCTGGTGTATCAGTAACGTGTGACTATTACCATTTCAAAGAATTTTGTACAGCAGAGTTAAAATAGAACAATTCTCAGCAAAACTAGGGGATTCTGAAYATTCAGGCCTCAGCTGAATAACTGAAGACCTGAGTGACACTTTTATTGTTTCCCCAAATAATTTGAGTGTGTTAGTTGTGGATGAGCAGAGATACTGGAGAAGGTGGTCAAATTTGCTTTCAGACACATGGCCACCTCTCGAAAAGAAAAAAGTAAGTAACTGCAGAAGGGGCAAGCTGCTGATGACAAATGGTTAAACGAAGGCATTGAAAGAATGGTCTGAGATGACTTCACTGAAGAAAGAACACTTCCAAGTTTTGTCCAGGGGAAGGAAGGAAGGGAACTGGAGTAAACACAAACCYCGTACTTCCTTTGAGTGGGAAAACTTTATTTCTGTGGGGTCTTTGACCAGCACAGTGGATCTCACAWTTTTTTCTAGTGGTACCAGTGCAGTTTAGGCAGCTGTGGGATTTTTCAGGATTAGATTTAGATTTAGATTGACTATAAAATATCCAAGTGCTTGTTGACTTACTAAAAAATAAAATGTTACTGTCTTTCAAGACTGCATCTCTGTAGTCAAAGTGTCAAAGTGTCAACGAAGCAGCTGCTAAGTCGAGGTCTGTATGTAGTACTGGCACAGGCCACAGCGTGACAATATTACACTGCATTTAAGATTTTGTCAAYTATTTGAGGTATCTTCCTTTGATCTGTATTATTAGGGTTTAAAAATCCCCTGTTAGACTTTCATTTCTGCTTTGTTTGCAAAATAAGCACCTGTGTTCATATACATATTCCTGGTAGGGTTTTTTTTTGGCTTTTATTGCACATCTTTGTTGTTTGTTTGTTTGTTTGTTTGTTTAAGAGGCTGCAGCTTTAGAAAGGCTGCTGGAGTACAGCAAAGGCTCCAGTCAACCACAGAGTTTTGTACCTTGAGTAGCTCGTGCCTTAATTTTGCAATATCTTCTGACCTAATGGGGCTTGCATTCTCTCTTTTGTGGATGAACTGAGAGGGATTCTTTCAACCCTCAGCTTTCTTCAAATATTTACATTAATAATTTTCAAGTGCCTTTGGCTTTTATTTTAATTGGTAAACTAATTGGAACATCAAAATGCCACCATTTTCTTTTTACAAGCAGCAAACGTAGTTTTTAACCACTATGTTCTTAGAAAAAAMCAATGCCTTTTAAATATGTTGGTTTTTCAAATAAAACTAGTCAGAGGGCCTGAGTTCTCTCCAATGGTAACTTCTGAGGCTGGAAAATGTAATTTCATATTGAGACACTTAAATTGTGCAGCTATTTCAGCCCATCTATCTTTTAGAGAAAGTGTCTGACTCAGGTCTTCCTCTCTCTCAATTGAAAATGTCCGGAGCATCCCAATTTCAGAAATTTTCCACTTAGAAAAATTAGAATTAATGTAGCTTTTGGAGATTCACTTTTAGTCTCACCAAGTTTGAAGCAGTTCAGTTTTCTTTGATGGTTACAGTGCCAAATTTGCATCAATGCGGGGCATTTGCTAAAATGATTTCTCCTCTTGTGTCTGCATTCCTATAGCAGATATATATAGGTATATATAGCAGATGGTCTGTATCTTCTTCCCCTAACAAATTTCCAGCAGTGGCTTGTGCACAAGGGCTGACCAGGGATGGTTTCCTGTTATGCAGGTGTGAGACCTAGAATTGTATACTTTATCACAGTTAAATGGTTTGGGGAAAGGAGGAATTTGTTGAAGCTCCCAGGGTCCTATTGCCCTGCAGCTTGTAAACCAGCCCATTGCCTATTRGGCTGCTAATTTAAAAGCTTTATCTGAACGGAATCTGTGCCAAGGTAATGTCACACATCGGTATTTAGACTTTGGGAACATTGCTGTGTTGCTGACTCCAACCTGGGCATGCTTCCTTTTAGGTGGTGCCAACACTGCGGACCCTGTGGCGCCTCGGCCATCAGGTCATAGTGTCGTACGAGGAGGAGGTGGAACTGGGGAAGCACTGTGAGCTGTGGCCCCCGATCCCATACTGGTGGGGAAACAAAACATCCACTCGTGCTCTCATCCGGTATTTGGAGCGCATGAAGCGGATGGGCCGTCCAGGTAGGCACAGGGAGYTTGCACAGAGGAGAGAAGGGGCGCTTACAGCAATGCAAAACAAGTAGGGAGTTGGGAGATTGTAGTCTTGTGGGATACAACCACCCTGCTGGGTGCTCTGCCCACCCCTGGGTGARTGTGATGTTGTCTTTGGTGCTGTGGATATGTGCCACTGTATGCACATGCACACACTACAGAAACTGTGGCAGCCACCTCGCTCGTGTGAAAGGGACCCCTCAGCGCAGACGAGCTCTGGGCACAGTTGTGCCCATTCCATGGGCAGGAGGCTGCTTCCTCAATCCAGTGCTTGCTGCTTTAGGCAGCACAGATGATGAGAGAAGTGCACTCCACTAGCCTTGCTCTGAAAGGAAATCCTTACCAGATTTCTCTCAAGGGAGACCTTACAGCTCTCTACAGCTTGAAAGGAAGTTGTAGCAAGGTGGAAACTGACCTCTTCTCCCAGCCAACCAACACAGGGCAAGAGGAAATGGCCTCAAGTTGTGCCAGGGRATGTTGAGGTTGGACACCAGGAAGAATTTCATTACTGAAAGTSTGGTTAAGCATTGGAATGGGCTGCCCAGGGAGGTGCTGGAGTCATTATCCTTGGAAGTGTTCAAGAAACAACTGGATGTGGTACTTAGTGCCATGGTTTAGTTGTCCTKGTGGTGTTTCATCAAATGTTGGACTTGATGATCTTGGAGRTCTTTTCCAACCAYAGTGATTCTGTGRTGCAAGAGCAGTAYGTGAAGRCTGTAGCTGCACCATTGAACAGCAGCACTCAAGCATGCTGCTCTAGTATAATCTGACAGAGGTTCAGTTCAGAACCTCTGACACAGCTTTGGAAGTGAATGCACAGGGTGGTGATGGAGAGAGCCSCCTCAGAAGTGCACTCCCCAGCCGAAGGAAAATGCTTGTGTGGCTACACCCTGTGTTCCCATCCATCACAGGAGAAGGCTAAGCATTTGGAAGCAACACTCACAGAAACAAACAATTTACAAAGAAGGACTAGTTAGTGGAGCATCTTTAGACTACAATGAATAACTAGACAAATTTAGTCAAACTGGAATGATTCGATAACTCTTTGTGGCTCAGGAACTGTTTACTAGAGCATGCATTTGCAACAAGGGGAAACAGTTGTAGGGACATGAAACAATACAGAAAGAGTGTGAAGTTAGTGTTTTAATGGACCCCATTGGAATGAGATGTGAAGCTAATGCAATACTGAGAAGTTTCTCTTCTCCTCAAAAGAATATTTAATGTGTCACTTTCTGATTTTTGTTTCAGAAAAATTCTTTGTAGCAGGGATTAACCTTACTGAAAATTTAAGGTATATTCTCGTACACCCATTTGGATCKTTGAAGAAAATGACACTCCAGAGTCTTCCATTCTTGAAAATATGGATAAAGCAGCAGCGTCCAGGACCAAAAAAAAAATGTATTAACATCATTGCTGGAGACTTTATAGGAAACAATGATTTTGTCAAAGATGTGATAGAACTTAATACAAAAATTAATCCTCCATTGCCCTGTCAAAGTAGAGAAGGTGAAACMAATAGCATTTAATTATCAGCTTCTTAATCTGTGAAAAGCTGAAAAGGCTTTGTCTGCATTTATTGTGTGCTGCTGTAAACATCCTGAATCCCATAAAGGTCCAGTTCACTTAAGACAGACCTGTTTTAAAGGCTCAGCAAGAAAAGGTCTCACAACATTGTCAGAGTTTTGAGACCTTTGCACAGGAAAGAGCAGGTGTACCTTGCTGCAGTCTCTACAGAACTATGGTATAGGGGTAATTTTTTTCAGAGGTGCTTTGATTCTGCAGCAGCTGGCAATACTCAACCTTATTTTACACAGGACTAAGAAGGAGAAGTATGTCAGTAGCTGCATGAATTATTTAGTGGTAAGATTTTATCTTTCTTATAATTGTAAGGATATTCTGCACTACTTGCAACCCCAATTCTTACTCTTTTTGACTTGTTCGTTTTTACAGTTTGTGTCAAATAAACAAAAGGAACAACTAAGAAGTATTTTTGATATACCAAAGGTGCTGTACTGACAATCAAATTTGACATGATTTTATATATACACCAATGTGCTGAGTATCACTTGGGAGCCCCCTTACCAACAGGACAGCCACAAAATTATTTAGGATTTGTAAGAGGTAGTTGTATTTGCACACTTAGTCATGGCAGTTCTGGAGGGATAAAGATACCAAAACTAGGCCCTTATACAGTTTTGTCTGTGGCGATGAAATGTTTTATTAGGTGTTGCCAAAATATGCCTTACACTGAAAATAAACMCAGTGGAAACAAATTCCTGATCTTAACTTAAACTCCTCTAGAAAWACAGATTCTTGGATTCTATCATGCTCATTTGGGGTTTCACACCTGGTATTTTATTTAGCTATTTTAATAGCTCTGTAATTATTTTTCCTCTCACTCAGTAGTTTTTGCTTATGTCAAAACTAAGAGGTTTATGCTGTATCCCATTGCATATTAATTCTGTTTTTCTAAATGAACTGTGTAATAAYAGATGACCATGAAGGCAACAGAAAAGTCAAGCATCAGGACTAAAACAAAACCAGTTATTGTGTATAGTTCACTATGCAACTTCATCCATTTACCTCACTTTTTAAATGCACTTTATATTCAAAAACTAAATCCAGATGTCTGACAAGATGCTAATGTTTGCACAAGTTTTTCTGCCTATCTTTTTGCCCTCTTCTGTACCCATGTTACTCTAATAAAACTTGATCTCTCTGTGTAATATGAACTGAAATAGTTTGGCTTCTCCTTTCTGTGATACTGTTTTATTGGTTCCCAGTAGTAATTCATAACTCCAGTAATGGATCCATCATGGTTGTGGGTTTTTTTCTCTTTTGTTTTCCTCCATGAAAAGTTTTGCTGTACTTTAAAAGTTTTCTCCAAGAACTGACACACAATAGATATTGTGGATAAATTACTATGCAATTACTATTACTAGGTAAGAAAACCGTATGGGTAAAAGATGTTCACAGCCAACTTTATTTAATGCCTTAATTATGATTATTTTTCTTCACTGCAGTAAGACATGGTAGTTATTTTACTTACAGTCGTGTGTTCTGCTTGAATACATATTTGTCTTCATTATTTATATACAACCAACAACATTTTGTTCACTAACTTCCATTTTCCAAAGAACACCTGAAATAAGTGTAATAAATATTATTTTATTTTGAAAAAGGCGGTAAAAAGCTTTATCTATTTGRTGTAAGAAACTTGGTACTTTTCTGAAGGTTAAGTCAGATGACATTCTATATGTTTAAGGTTCACAGCTTATAGCCAACAACAGGTTTAATGTAAAAAATTTAGTGCTGTCCTGGTATTTGCTGACAAAATTAAGCTCAAAGCTCTTATTGTTTCCACACAGAAGTTTTCTGAAAGAGCGTCCATYTCTAAAATGTGCCAAAAACATCAACTGGAGAAGAAAAATAAACTATTCAGCTGTGAGACTAACAGGTCRTTCACTTCATTTCACATCCTCTTGAGGAGATGAGTTTCTTTTCCTAGAACAGGATGTATTTTCATGACATGCAAATCTTACTGTTRGGAAAGAGGTTTTTGTATCTGCCAAAAGCAGAACTGCTGATGATCACCTTCACCCTGGCTGTGCCATCTTCAGGCTCGACTTCTACTTCCTGAACTGTTGCTTCTTTATGGAGCCAACTGTAAATGTAAAAGCATATTAGCATCTTAAAGGTATGACACACTGCACAAAATGTGATCTTTGGTTTAGGTCAAAAGGTTTCTATCTACATAACACTTGAAAAGATGAAGTCCTTCACTTCACTTCTCCAGTGTATCTTATGGGGCTATKTTTTGTCAATAGGTCAGAAAACTTTGATAATCATCTGTCTTATTCTTAACGTGGATTAAAATCAGTAYGATATGATTTGAAAAGTTTAAAACATGCATGATTGTTTCATATTTTTCCAAGTCCTTCATACAATTCAAAATTATTTACCTTAGCTGAGGTCCCTCTAAGTTGATGTCAACTGTYAAAATCTTCTTCCCAGTAGCTGTCAGTATTTTTTTCTCTATTTCTTGTTTCAGTTCTTCTAAACCATGCCCATGCAGAGCAGAAATAGCTAAAGCATTTTCTTCAGTGGGTTSATACCTGAAAGAAAATTAATTGCTAGCACATTTTTTCATGAAGATTAGGTTGTGAAAATATTCCAAGCACGAACAGTTTAACTAAGTTACTTTATACTGGCATGTTCTACAGAGGCCACTTCTTGTATGGCTCAAGTGATTTCTTTTGTAATTAAAAGATAATTAATTCTTTTTCAGACCATAGTTAGWTATGTAAAAGATTGAGAAAAACTATTATGTATATTCTGAAGTGTAAGATCTCTTTTCTAGACTAAGAATTGAAAAGCTTCCAGGACATAAGAAATGTTTAAGTACACTTAGCATCTCTTGCTTACCTTTCTATCAAATCCACTTTGTTATGAACTTCTACCATTGAGTCCAGTAAATGGCTGGGAAGATTAAGATTCCTCAGAACTGACAGAACAGTTGCTTTCTGGAGGTTTGTTTCTGGATGAGTAATATCCCTCACGTGAACTATCAGATCCTAGCAAGGATCAATATACAACAGTTGTAGAGATTTTATACCATTTTTGTATTGCTAATTCATGTAAAATACTTTCCTATCCATTTGACAATACRTTGGCAGATTAGCACTGTAAAATTRACTATAAAAATARTATTAAATCAACTCTGTTTTTTARACCATGACGGAAGCAAATCTGTTGCAGCTTAGTCTTCCACCTCCAGTGGGTACAAATTGCCTCCAACAAACCTGAAGCAAATGTTGTCAACCAAGCTAGTTGCAGAATTAGATTTCAAAACAGTCTTTTTTTTTCAAAGGCAAAGCTTTGTAACGAGGCTTCAAAAACACTGGAGATTAAAAACAGTGATCTCTAAAAAGCTTTTAGAAGAGTAATGGCTGCAAAACTGTTTCAAAAACATAGGGAAAAGCCCCCATGTAACTTGTAATTCTATTTTTACATTCAAAATATAGAAGATTATCCTTATGCTTAGCTCCCAGCATACTATTACTGGTGCTTCACTTAAAAAGCTTTATACAACAGTTACCAGTCTCAAGTATATACATGTTTGCCATGATAAAAACCAAGCAACCAAACTCAACATTTGCATTCAGGCTGTTTCATCATCTTAGCTCAAGACATYGCTTTAAACTTTTGAAAATTAATTAGAAGTAAATTTCTTGCCTTTTATTTAACACTTTGGAATAAGTGACAAACAGGATTGTTTCAGCCAGCTTTTGAAAGCCCAGCTATTATGTGGTGAAGTCTAATCTTCAGCAGCATTCTGGCATCTACCACYGAATTTCATTAGCTTTCAAGATACAGGCTTTTTGTTTAAATGTCTGTGTGTATGTACAAAGCTTTACACTTTGCTATAACACAGGAAAATAACTTTAATGAGAAAATAATTGGAAAAGTACATTTATATTTATTACATGTTCCTGCATTACATCACAATCACCCACTTGTAGTCCTACAGGAAACCTTAAGTTAAAACCAGATCATTTCAGAGGCTTTATTTAATTTTTAACTCCYGGGAAAGCTATCCTGACTCACTTAGGTCCACTGTTCAGATATTTAATCAGAAAAACCTGATTTATCTGGTTTAAGTATCATGGAGAAGGCCACATATAGTCCAAACAAGCCCTTTCTGAAATCTCTTCATWTCTGTATGTTCTGCATAATTAAARGATCAGAAAATTTGTTTGTTTTAAYATAYTTACATTGCTATCTTAGGACATTACTATAGTCTGGCAGATACTTTGCTAAGAACAGCATGTCAATTAACTTCCCTTATTCTGAAGGSGTGAGGATTATCTCAAAGGAAATTAATTTGACTTTTCAATTTTTGTAGTTGACTACTTACTGAATAAGCCACTTCTTCTAGTGTAGCTGAAAAGGATTCAACCAGATTATGTGGAAGATCAGTCAGAAACCCAATGGTGTCAACATAAATAACTGCCATATGCGAGGGCAGATAGCCACCATGGGCTGTAATATCCAGAGTGGCAAACAGCTGATCTCTGGGTTGAAGTCCAGCTTCCCCAGTCAAGGCTTTGATCAAAGTAGTTTTTCCTAATTCAATAAAAAAAGACAAGATTTTAATGCCTTGCTCCAAGTAAAATTTAACTTGCAAGGCTCAGGTGAAATATGTGATGCAATACATATTTTCACATCCAATTTAGTCTTTTCATTGTAGCTTGTGATCAGTTATCAACATACTGTTAGGAAATCCAAATGCAGTCTTACATTTAATGACTTGGAATTGGGTTTAAGGTCACATATGTAATCACATACTGATATCTACAGCTGTGCTATGAAATCACAAGATGATCAGAGACTGATCTGACCTGCAAAGTGACCTACCCACGTCTCTCACCTGTAAGACTCTCTGAAGAGCACTGCAATGACAGCATTAGGAAGCATGCACTTACACACTCCTCAGCACTTCTGTTGTCAAATAAAACAATTTACTTGCTAAATTAAAAAAAAATAAATAGAAGCACTATTAATATATACCATATTAGGCTGAGGCCTTTATTGGTCATTTCCTCATGAATATAATAATAGAAACATTTATTTGACTCAATAAATATTTCACATAGTTAAAGTGTTCAGACTAATTAAAGTATTTCAATTATGTGTATACAAAACTGTTATATATATAGAAAGAGAGCTGAATCTTCAGTTTTAAAAATATGGAAGTATGACATTTAAGAAAAACATACAGTATAATCCAAAACTTCGAGTATAAAAGTGATGACAAAATTAGTGCAAGCTAAGTTTGTTTTCTTAAAGAAGTTGAATAAGAAAATGGAATTGTCTTACAGTGATGCAGACTGAAAAAACTGTCTTGTCCAAAGTCTATTTATGCCTTGTGTAAGCTAAAAAAACCAAACCAAACCAAAGCAGAAAAAACCCTTTAGCTTTATTTAGWTTCTCCTAGGAACATATCTCACTATGCTACACATAATCCATGAGATGCTACAGTGCTCCTTAAGCAGGTTTCTCAGATGAATAGCCAATTCTAAATTGTCTTCCTATGCCTCAAGTCTTCATGGTGATCTAAACAACCATGTACTTTCCTGTAGCCATTCTGATCAAGCAGTAGTGATTCACATAAAGGGACATTAACAGTGCAGTCTTGTGCACTGTATAAAATCTTTATGACACAATAGGTGCTAATCATTTCTCTAATACATGTCTTCAAGACTGAAAAAATACAAGCAGCCTAATTTGCTTTCATAACTATATCCTAACTGACAAATATTCATTACACAATTAAAAAAACTAATTAAAATACGAAGCCTATTCACACACAAATGAGATTCTGGCTAGAGTTTCTAATTAAAAATTAGACTGTATAAGCTCATTTGTGTTACGATTTCAGGAGGTTTTSCTTACCACAATTGGTATAGCCCATTACTGAGACCATCGGGAACTCGCATTTTCTGCGCTGAGTTCTAAGTAAACCCCTTTTTCTCCTTAGTTTCTGAAGGGCATTCCTAATTTTAAGTTCTCTTTCTTTCAAGACACGATTCTGTGTTTCTAGGAAAGTTTCACCTGAAAAATAAAAGTGAGTGATTAGCAGAAAGAATAGTTTACAAGAGAAACKGTAAAGCAAGTGATGTATTTGGAAATCAAGTGAGTTAGCACTAGGGCTTGTGAAATTTTT